ATGCAAAGAGGAATCTACAAAGGTATATTTCTCAACTCACTTTGATTTGAGTTGAGTCTTGGTTCACCAATCTACTAGGCTTTGAATTTCTTGGTTAATGTTTTGTTTTTAAGTGCATGCAAGCATGATTCCGCCTTTAATTGTTAATTGCATGCTTATAGATGTTGCTTAAATGAACATGTTTTCACAAAATAATCCTTCAGCTTCCTTATATGTTGTTGGATCACCTTCAATTATAAAAGTATAAAATCATCACCAAAGTTCTTCTCCACTCTAGGTCTCTTACTCCTTCTTAGTTCAGCTAAAGGTTATTCTTCATTTGAAACTTGATGGCTAATACTTGTGGAGGCTTTGTCAATACTAGTGCATGATTTCTCTACCACGTGCTTTTGCATTCTAGTCTTGAAAGAAAGTATGTCTTCAAAATATGTTGCATCCCTAGACTCCAATATAGTGTTATTCGAAATTTCATTTATTTCAGAGTTGATGACTAGAAATCTATTGACACTACTATTATGAGCATAACCTAAGAAAATAGTATCCACATTTTTAGGTCCTATCTCTTCTTTCTCTTAGGTTGTGGGATTGCAACTTTAGCCAAACACCCCCAGACTTTCAAGACTTGGAGATTTGGTGTTCTCTTTTTCCACATTTCATATGGAGTAGTAGTGTTGTCTTTAATGATTACTCTAGTTAATATAAAACATGTAGTCAAAATTGCTTCCCCCCACAAATTTTCCGGTAATCCAGAACTCAAAAACATTGCATTCACCATGTCCAATAAGGTCCTATTCTTCCTTTCTGTAACTCCATTTGATTGTGGAGAATAAGGTGATGTTACTTCATGTATTATACCATGCTCTTCACAAAAAACACTAAGATCGGTAAGAGTGTACTTACCACCTCTATCAGACCTTAGTCTTTTTATCATTTTCTCTAATTGATTTTCCACTTCTGTCTTGTAAATTTTGAATTTACCAAAGACTTCATCCTTGGTCTTTATCAAATAAATATAACAATACTTTGAACAATCATCTATAAATGTGACAAAATACTTATTACCAGCTCTAGTAGGTAATCTATTTGAGTCACAAACATCATTATGTATAAGCTCTAAAATTTGGGTATTTCTTTCGACAGACTTAAAGGGTTTCTTGGATTGTTTTGCTTGTACACAAATTTCACACTTATGCTTGAGATTCATGTTTGACTTTGGGACTAGGTCCAAATCCATAATTTTCTTAATTTTGAACAAGTTTACATGTCCCAAACGTCTATGCCAAACATTACTAGATTCAACATTAAAAACTTTTGGAATATTATTGCACTCGGAAGAAACACTTAACTTAAATAATCCTTCACTGATAAAACCTTTTCCAATAAATATATTATTCTTGGTTATTACAACCTTATTTGATTCCATTACAACTTTGTAGCCTTGCTTTACTAAGCATGATCCACTAATTAAATTTCTTCTAATATCAGGTACAGGTCGCACATCCTTCAAACTTAAGACCTTTCCAGATGTCATCTTTAGGTCAATGTCTCCAATTCCAAGCACTTGTGACATTGAGTCATTTCCTAGAGTTATACGTCCTCCACCTGATTCTGATAGGTTTTAAAAAATTCACGATCAAAAGAGACATGTACGTTAGCTCCAGAATCTACCCACCAATCCTTATTTTCATAAGTAAAATTTACAAAGGAATCATACTTAAAATGTGGTTGAGAAGATTGTTGCTCCATCAACATATTCACTTGGGCTTTTGGACCATTAATATTTGACTTATACTTGCTCTCCTCAATCTTCTTGTAGAAGCAATCCTTAGCCTTATGATTGGTTCTTCCGCAAACGAAGCAAACCCCCCTCTCTCTCCCTTGATCCTTAGTCTTGTGAAAGTTCTTATTTTGGTTGGGTGGTTTAAATTTAAAATTTGTTCTTCTAGGTTTGAAATTCCTCTTATTATTTATGGTGAACTTGGTTTTGTTTTTTCCATATTTGTTGGTGTCATTCTCAACTAAGTTCACAATTATTTGTTTTTCGGTTTCCTTCTTTTGGCTTGAACTATGTTTCTCTTCAATTCTAATTAAATTTATGACTTGAACCAAAGTAAATTCTCCTTGTTTATGCCTTAAGGTTCTAGCAAAGTCATTCCAAGATTGAGGCAATTTATCAATAAGGCAGGAGACTTTAAAATCCTCATTGAACTTTGTTCCTTTTTTTTTTCAACACCTCTTAATAGCTCTTGATACCCATGTATTTGTTCCCCAACAGACTTATTATTAACCATCTTATAATCATTAAAGTTTGAGACCGTGAACCTATCCATCCCAGCATCTACAATTCCATATTCTGCTTCTAAAGTTTCCCAAAGTTCTTTGGCGGTTGATACAGTAGCATGATATACATCATAGAGATGCTCAGAAAGGGCAATTAAGATTCTATTGTGACAATGGTATTATATGAGTTCAGGGTTTAGTTTAGAAGATGACTCTTTAAAAGAGGAACCTTTGTTTGATTGAGTTTCTTCAAGTGCGGATGCAAGTCCTAAGACAGTTAACCAATATTTCACTTGTTTTTGCCATCTACGGAAATTATGGCCACTAAATTTTTCAGGCTTAACACTATTGGCTTCTTCTAGGCTTGCCATTTGTTATGGAATACTGACTAATAACAAGTGAGAGAGATATAAGATTGCTATAATACTGTAGAGATTAAAACAAATTGTCAGTAAATTTTTTTTAACAAGTATAGGATAAACTATACTACTGTATAATAACCACAGATCAATTAATAATGATAATCACGCACAAATTTAATTAAGCATAAAGCAATTAACATATATCTGTATGCAATTGTAGTCAAATTGTAATAATCAAGCACATATGTAATTAAAGCATAAAAGATGCAAGTACTTGGTATTGAATAATCACACAAATTGTAACAATCACGGCGCAATCGTAGTCAAATCACGTCTATTCTAAGAATTTATAATTAAAAACAATTCAATTGTACTTTAAATTGATGACAGTTTAATATTTAAATCAACTCAGAAAAAGATGACAGGTAAATCACGTTTATACCGAGATGGTCAACTTAGACAACAAATGGCGGGCAAGCAGTTTTATTGTCACATCCCGGCCCGGGGCGGATCACTTCCCGGGCCCGCTCCACCACCGTAGTACGATATTGTCCGCTTTGGGCCCCGACTATGCCCTCACGGTTTTATTTCTGGGAACTCATGAGCAACTTCCCAGTGGGTCACCCATCATGGAAGTGCTCTCGCGTGCTACTCGCTTAACTTCGGAGTTCCGATGGAACCCGAAGCCAGTGAGCTCCCAAAAGACCTCGTGCTAGGTAGGGATGAGAATATACATTTAAGGATCACTCCCCTGGACGATGTGAGATGTTACATTTACGTGCTTGGGTATTGAACGAAATAAAAAAAATAATAAAAAAAATGCAGAAAGTTGAAAAAGAAAAATAATAATAAAATAAAGAAGGGCAATGTTAGCCTTCCTAGGCTTTCAACGACAAGACCGAATAATAAAAAATAAAAAAAAACGAAATGCAGAGAGGCAATTATGCATTCCCAGAAAGTTGAACGACTTGAACACTATAATTATTGGGGGCTTTCAATGCACTGTGAAACAGAATGTAAAATTTGCAATTATATTATCACACCTATACGGCTTTAGATTGTGTAATATATTGCAGAAATATACCAATTATGGAATTGCTTAAGGGGAGGGATCCCCATTTTTTCAAAAAATGGGGACACGCTTCCCACCGTTGGATTTGAATTAAATGAAATCATGTGGTTGAGATTCTATGGCCTGTGTTTTAATCTCAACCACACAATTTCATTAAAGTCAATCTAACGGTGGGGAGCGTGTCCCCATTTTTTTTGAAAAATGGGGATCCCTCCCCTTAAGCTCCCTGTACCAATTATTTATATGATCAAATTGTTGGAATTTATTAGATTTATTTAGGAAATTAATTAGAGATTTGATTTGATTTTGTAGTCGGGTATTTTTGGCATTTACGCATTAGGGTTTCTTAGGTCTATTGCTCTATAAATAGAGCTTGTAATTTAGTTTGAGAGCAAGTTAGTCACAATGTAGTCTTTAGGGTTTTTGTAGCCATCTCGGCATTCTCAGTTTGTTCAATAAAATTCTTATTATTTGTTAGTCTTGTTCGTTGTGCACTCTGATATTCAACTCAAATATATCAAATCAAATGTATAATCACTATCAAACTTATGAAATTTAAATTGGGAAAAAGGAATAAGAAAATCTGGCATGTGAACCAAAGAGAGGCGCGATGTTGCTGCCCTAAAGCCGTACACGCCTCCCTACGTGCAGGTTATGACGGTGCCTACAACTCCAAGATACAACTCAAAGCCTCACAGGATGTCTGATCCGATATGCACGCCAACGGCAGATGAGATTGCCAAGTAGTGATCAATTGCCCAAGAATTATGAAATAGGACTGTAAATAGACTGAGAGAGATGTGAGAATTGAGGGAGATAGAAAAGTTTAGCATATTTGTTTTCTGTCTGAGGTTTCATATTTAAAAAACTCCTCATACCTTTTAAAAAGGAATATGACTTTTCGAATAAAACACAACTCTTAAATATTATAAATAAATAAAATAAAATAATAATAAGTTTTGAATTTTTAAAATAAAATATTATTAAAATAATTAAAATAACCAACAATAAAGAACTGTCAAAATTATAAAAAATAAAAAAAATAAAAAAAAGAAGAAGGCTGCTCCATGTGTATTATTCTATCAGTTCGTGCGCGAATAAAACGTGATTGAATTTTATGTTTGAACAAAAAAAAAAGTGATAGATTTGAAATACATATTCTAACATACATTGGTCTTGGACCACTAATATATGCTCAGTCTCTTTCGTTCCCTGTCCCCGTACTAATCAACGACTAGGAAAATGGAAAGTGCTCCTCCACATCAAAAGCATGGACAAACTCAACTAATCATAAACCTAATTAATCCAATGATAATTGGATTACGAATTACATAATCCCTAAGCTTCAGACCGTTCCTTAATTAATTAGATACTTAGCTTAAACTTTTGAAACATATAAATAAGCTCATTTAGACACATTTCTAGTTGCCCCCCGTGGTTCTAATTTGATTTCCTTCATCTATTATGGCTCAGGTGTGTCCTCAAGCTCCCCAAGTTCTCTCTATCTGTCCCTACACTAATAGTTCATCAAAGAGAGAACCTTATACCATTTGGATGAAATCACTTGTATGCCATACAAATGGTTGCACGGTCTACAATTCCAACGGCAACATTGTTTATCGAGTTGACAACTACGACAAAAAGTGTAGCAATGAAGTTCATCTCATGGATCTCCAAGGCAAAGTTCTCTATACCATACTTAAAAAGGTATATAATATTAATAAATATGGTTACGTTTTCTTACCATGAATTCGAGAATTTTATGTTAGTGAGTTGCTTTGATTATGCAGAAGTTACAAGCTTTTGAACGATGGGATGGCTATAGAACGAGTAGCTCTTCCAAGGAAAGCAAGGAGAAGCCTTGGTTTCAAGTGAAAAGTTATAGTAGAATGCTAATGGGAAGCATAGCTTGTCAAATTACAGTGGAGTGTGACAAGTATTGGATAATGAAATTGGCAGGGAAGAGTGGTGCTGTGGGATTTAGAATAGTAGACATTGATGGAGATATTGTTGCAGAGGTGAGCCTTAGCTCTCTTAATTAATATCTAATTATATAATACCTTATGAGGATCAACCGTTTTTGTATTTATCATTTATCTGTTGGAAAGTTCAACATTTTTTTGGGTGGCTTGTGCAGGCAAAGCAGAAGCTATCATCTTCTGGAGTAGTTCTGGGGGATGATGTCTTAACTTTAGAGGTGGTTCCTCATATGGACCATTCCCTTATAATGGCTATTGTGATTGTGTACGGATTGATTTGTCGCAAAATGTAAGTGTGATCACATTATAATTATATATAGCGTGGCTATTTCCAAAGCAGGTAAAAGTGCGGCTTCTCATAAATTACTGTTGTGCTTTCATTTCAGCTAGAGATTGTGGTTCTTTGTAACTAACTCATAAATCAACTTGGCCCTTTTACTTCTAGTTGAATGTTATTTGCATCCTACCCGTGGTGGAACCTTCTCGGTCACCCTTTTTATTTAACGAATTTTTCCTATACATGATATAATTGGAATCATTCATCTCCTAAATCATTATTTCAAGATAATGTCTATGAAAAATCAAGCAAATTCAAAATCGTTTAGTCATGCATATATATAAACTAAATGTTGGTTCACCATAACGATCTTGCTACAAAATTGTCTATTTATTTGATACACATATTGATGACTGTAATACCCTGTTTATTTTTAGATATATGTTTTAGTTATTCATTTTTATGAAATTCAAATGGAGGAAAATAGGAAATTCCGTTCCTGAATTTTATTATTACATTAGGTATTTTGAATTCATAATCAGTGTTGCGACGCATTTATATTTACGATGTCTAATTTTTTTATAAGTTAAAAAGACAAAAATACCCCTAGTTGGCTAAACATAATTATACGAGGATGTATTTTATCCTTATATGTTTCCCCATATTTTTGGCATATTTTGATAGAACTCAATCCCATGAGCGTGTAGGCAAAAAACATTCGCTAAACGGTATTTTAACGAATGAGTTATGAACGAGCAAAGACAAGGGCAAAATGGTCATTTGACCATTAATCTAGATGACTCCAACTTTGCTGAAGCAATCATCTGGGGGTAGAAAAGCCACATGTGTGGCTATAAATGGGGGGGGGGGAGGGAGAGAAAGGAGAGAAGGGAGAGACCAGCAGACGTGATCTTAGACCCATTGACCCGACGACCCGATTTTGACCTAGTAAGATTTCTGGCGATTTTTTGTCATTTTTCCAATGAATTCCACTCAGCACCACCTGCACACTCCACCCCAACCTATGCTTTCCCATTTCCATAAAAAAAACTTGAGCCCCGTTTTGGCCTCGGTTTCATGAAGAACAACACTGGTGGGTGCAATGGCTCCTCGGTGGTGGAGAATGCAGTTGCTTCTCAAAGAACATGATCTTTTTGTGTTCATTCTTGAGAAAAAAGAAGCCCGCGATCCACCATTCATGAAGTTAATTCCGCCGACAACTACCACCAATAGACTCGATGCCTTAACCAATGCATGGTTCTTGTTCCTGGGATTCAGGATAGTCTATTGGTTCTTTGTAACGACCCAAAATTTATTCGGAAATTAAACATAGTGGTAGGCCAAAACAAAGTAATGGTTAATCACAACTCTTTGTAACTACAATAAATTTCCTTATTTGATATTTACTCATAAAATTTATGCCAATTGGATCTAACCTTAGAGTTAGATTGCCACCTGAATACATAAGGTGTCAACGAAAGGGATAAGAATAAAGTGAGGGAGGAAGTAGGATTGGAAAGGGGTGCACTGGGGATCTTTGAGGAGTTGCGTTTATGTGATAATTTTGATTTTTTTTTCGACTCCAAGAGATGCAGCTCCATAGCATGAAATATTTCATTTGATTAGATTTATGACCTAGATACATCTATCACCATTTGATTTATTTGATGGTTAAGATTCAACGCTACAAAATATTTCAAAATTCATAGAAATCTGTTATACGAATCTTCTCAAATCTTCCAAAATCTATATGGATTTTGTAGAAGTCTATATAATCCTATGAAATCCATCACGTGTCAAAATCTATTTGTTTGCACGATACTTGACCAATCCCGAAACTACTGAGCACCGGTCAACGTTATACCGTCAAGGACCCAGAAGAGTTTCCCTCCAACCAGGAGGCCAATCACAGCGCGACACGTGTCAATGTCAGAATGAAACTAGAAACTCTCTTCTATAAATAGATATCATTCTCTCACAATATTTCCTAATGTCATTTGTACTAAATCATTCACTAGTACTCACAAAAGGAGAACTTGAACCTATGTACTTGTGTAAACCCTTCACAATTAATGAGAACTCCTCTACTCTGTGGACGTAGCCAATCTGGGTGAACCACGTACATCTTATGTTTGCTTCCCTGTCTCTATCCATTTACATATTTATCCACACCAGTGACCAGAGCAATCTAGCTAAGGTCACAAACTTAACACTTTCTGTTGTACCAAAGTCCTCACTGATTTTGTGCATCAACATTTGGCGCTGTTTGTGGGAACGACACTTATTCCCACTCTCTTCAGCTTTGCCAAGTTGGTTTCCACCATTCGTACACTCTCTTTTGACCAAGCATCCCTCTCCAACATAGGGAGCGAAGGAAGCCACAACACACAGAATGACACCCCTCTTGCACCTACTGCGAAGCAACGAAAGAAGGAAGGAAAAAGGGTTGCTCTTCAAGCTAAAGTCAATGAGCTAGAAGCTTAGAACAACAAGATATCAATGAAGAATGAGGTTCTCTAGGAGCAGTATGAGAAGCTCTTTGAGACTCTCCCCGAAACTAGGCGTACTCAAACACGCGAGCTCGTTGCCCCTGTGGACATGAACCATCATCTGGGCGCCCTCTAACATGGAGGGTCACCTCTCTTCGACATGGGTATCCCTGATGAGGAACGAGCTAATCATTAAAATATTGATCAACATGAGACTTCTCTCAACCCAGATGCTTCGACCCAAAGTAGAAGAAGTAGAGGAAAGCACCTCCTTCCAGAAGGGTTGGAAGGATCGAAAGCCGTTTATCATGACTGCTGAGACTTCCTAAAGCAACGTCGAGAGAATCCCCTCCACATATGCTCAAAGATTAATGACCCAATGGTTTCTGAAAGACTCGGTCCCCTTCCGGTCCCCTTCCACGACCTAGGCCAGCTGCCAATCTAGGGAAGGAACGACAGGTCCCAGAGAAACATGAAGGTACGGGAGACTCTGAAATATTCCGACAGACTCACCTTAGAAGTTAGTACGGCGAGTCCAAGAAAAAACCACACGCCCTTGCTCAAACTTTCCTACTTTCAAGAGGCGATGGAGACTTGCGAAAGAAAAATCCAGTGATACATGACTCTACTCAGGACCCCTTGTCCTACAACTCCTTGAGGAAGTAAACAAGTTGAAGGCCAAACGTCAGGCTAAGATACCTGACTGGAACCAACCCAGCCTGGCCCTCTCACAAGAAGGATCATCGACACCCTCTTCAAGAGAAGACAAAATAAAAGCTTGGTTTACAACTCTATACTAGAAGGGAGGACCCAATTGAACACCTTAACCTCTTTGAGTCCACCATGGCATATCGGATGCACACCGACGAAGAGCGATGTCTTCTCTTCCCCTCCACCTTCTCTGACGGAGCTCTAAACTGATATTGCCGTCTTTCACCTGAGATAGTAGACTCATTTGAGGAATTGAGGAAACTGTTTTTCTCTCAACACATCTTCCAGACTGATCACTTGCATTCTGCAGATGACTTATACACTATTCGCCAGAAGCCGGACGAGTCACTATGAGAGTATGCCGGTCGTTTCAACCATGAGTATTCTTGCTACGTTGAGGCAGATGACAAGACCGCCCTCAAGGCCTTCACGGCAGGCCTACGTGATTGTTTCTTCAAGTACATGATCAATGCCAACACTTGGAAGACTTACTCTGAGGTGATGGCACAGGCTTACAACCACGCCTCCGCCGAAGCAAGGACATACCAAAGGAACCCCCATATGGTTAACCCCTATCAACAAATGGGAAGTGGAAGTCAAGTTCTACCAAGTAAGGAAATATTGGCCATTCAGACACCCATTGCATCATCTTCTGCCTCATTTAGCTACTCGCTAAGTCACCAAACGTATCTATCTCTTGGTAAGAGAGGAAGGATTTTTACTCTTAGCAAGCCCATTACAACAAGAGGGATAAAAGTTCGTATCAAGACAACCAGGGGTGAACGTACCGTCGACTATTATGAATATGGGGCCAAGCCTCACTCTTTCAAAGTGGAGGATTAGGTACTGAAAGAAATGCTATTATAAGAAGGCATACACATTACAAAATACTTTGACTCTCAACCGCTTGAGATCTTTTGTCACACAAGCCATTCGGCAAATATTTAAAAAAGAGGGAATTCAAACAACTTCTTCTGAGTCTTTTGCGTTCCTAGCACTGGAACACTTGGTCTATGCTGACCTACCCTGATACTCCAACTTAGAGCTTCAACATGCATACTTTGACACAAAGTATGTGATACTAAGTGTTACAACCAACATGGTTCATATATCAAAAGCATGGATCCCTTCATGCATAGCAAAACATTCATAAGCATTACTCATATCAATCAACATAAACATTATACATTCCAACACATTCATACATAAATATCATACATTCCAACACATCCATACATAAGCCAATTGTGCTTCGAAAGGGTTCAACATACTTTGTGTCTTCGACACTTGCTATAATGTGCCTCGACTCCTTGCCCTTATTCTCACCAACCAGGTGATGAAATGTGAAGAAGGAACTCATCTTCATGCCACCAACCAGGTGATGAAATGTACAAACCGTACTCTCATTCATGCCACCAACCAGGTGATGAAATGTACAACCCGTACTTTAATATCATTTGGCAACTTGCCACTCATGCCACCAACTAGGTGAAGAAGGAACTCATATTCATGCCACCAACCAGGTGATGAAATGTACAAACCGTACTCTCATTCATGCTACCAACCAGGTGATGAAATGTACAACCCGTACTTTAATATCATTTGGCAACTTGCCACTCATGCCACCAACTAGGTGAAGAAGGAACTCATCTTCGTGCCACCAACCAGGTGATGAAATGTTCAACCCGTACTCTCCTTCATGCCATCGACCAGGTGATGAAATGTACAACCCGTACTCTAATATCATTTGGCAACTTACCACTCATGCCACCAACCAAGTGAAGAAGGAACTCATATTCATGCCACAAACTAGGTGATGAAATGTACAACCCGTACTCTCCTTCATGCCACCAACCAGGTGATGAAATATACAACCATTACTCTAATATCATTTGGCAACTTGCCACTCATGCCACCAACCAGGTGAAGAAGGAACTCATCTTCATGCCACCAACCAGGTGATAAAA